TAAGCAAAATATTTTTGTTTCTATTTTATACCATGGAAAACTTATAATTCATTTTTCTTTTTAATAACACATGAAATTTACAATCACTAGCAATAATATCTTTGAAGTTAACATGACATTTACCAAGAAAAGTTTACTGCAGAAGAAAAATCACTGGGGGTAGAGGATGATCTAGCCTAGAAATTTCAAACAGTATAGATAGGAAATTTGGGTTTGGTTAAAAAAAATAGTCTGCTTAACAAATCAAACTCTGTAGTTAACAGTATCATTTCACATGGAAAATATATGCTATAATATTACATTTCCTATCTTTGTAAGTCATTTATCTACCATTTTACTGTAGAAAATAAATCTTTGAAAAGGTAAATCCAATGATTTGTGTCCATGAAGCTGCCCAAGAGATGTAGTTTAATTTTAATAGAATTTATCTTCTGCACTGGTCTTTTACTAAGTGTTTCCATCAGCAAACATAGTCAGTGTCTCTCATGGGAAGGCCCTGGGCTTACTGATGTAGGTAGCTGTGGTCCATGGCCTTTCTGGAGCTTATGCTCCTGTGGAGGAAATAGATGGAAAGCAACAAATAAACAAATTAATTAATTAAACATTATGTTTGGAGAATTAGATCAAGTTAAGAGGCCAGAGTTGATCTTTTCCTTTTTCCTCCCTTCATTAACTTTGTAATTGACATCTAATGAGAGTGGCAATACACAGGTGGAACCCTTATAACCACCACCAGGTTAGCCCTATGAAAACAAAGGTGCAAGCAATTTGAGTGCCATACTGTACAAAGTAAAGTAAAGCCCTAAAGCTAAATTATCCCCGAAATTCTTCCCTGGTGTCTACTCAATGTCCACTCACAAAATCACTCATTTTAGTAGTTGGATGAACACTGAGAATGTAATCTTTTCTATCCAAAATTTTGCCCAAAATGTTTCATCATTTGATCTTAAGCCCCTCTCCATATTTTGCCTTATCTCCATTTCCTCCTACTGAATACAGTTGATATCAAAGCCACCCAAAAGGATGTGGCTCACAGCTCCATGGAAGCAATTATTGTGATGTGTGCCTTTCATCCTTCTCGGGTAGAAATTGTATGTTGTCCTGGATGATTGATTTATTACTGCCTTTGTATTTGATTTTGTCATTATTCGTTATTTTCTTTGTCAAACAGACCCACACTCTTCTTCACATAATCACCCAGTCCTGTCTCTCAGTAAGCAAAGTAGCTGATGGCTCCCATCATCCCACTGTGGAAACATGTAATGATAGCACTTTGCAAAAATGGCTGCTAAGAAACTATACAAGAATGGAAGTTTTTAGAAATATTTTTGGAAATTCTACTGATTACATTCTCTAATAATTTTTAGAGGTTTGTGTTTCAAACTTTATTAAATTTGTTTTAGTATTTTTGTTATGTTTGGCTATTGAAACCTGGAAACTTGCTTCTTTAAAATGGTGTTAAGAAAAATTTTTATGTACTACTTCTTAAGGGAGTTATTTTTCTGTCTTTTACTCCTTACCTGTTCATTAATTTGGAGACTGCATAGATTAAGTAGTGTTTAGTCTATCATTAATGAATATGTATTTTCCAGTTTTTTTTCTTTATTTCAAATATATATATATATATATATGCATAAATATAATTGGTGGAATATATTACATATTAACTCTTTTTCAAGGTAACTATCGCCATGTCTATATGACAATAGATTTTGATTTTCATCAGAGCTGAGAAAAATGAATAAAAAACATAGCCAAAAAATGGATTGTTTTCGGAGCACTGAAATTATTTAATTTTGTTAATTTTTACAAGATATTTTGGTTGTATGCAGACATAGCATATCCTTTCTAAAAATTTTAATTATTTTAATCCAAAACACTGAGCAAATGTATTATTAAAGACCACCAAAGGTGTAATTTTCAATGATGTTATGAAGAAAATTATTTCTAAGCCTGTCTTTGTGCTTGGTTAAGTAATATAATTAAAGCAATAAAACCTTTTTTAAATTTGCATTTTTTTTATCACTCACTAGAATGATTTGTGACTATCTTCTCAGTAAGCAATAAAGTGAATCATTCAGTTCAAATCAACCAACTGGTATGGAATTCTTATAAAGAGTGCAAATACGAGCATGTCCTCCTTGATTTTAAGGGGTTTATTGTCCAGTATATAAAGGATTGTACTTTGCCTAGTACCTTATTATGTGAACACATGGGAGGTTCAGAGTTTTTCTGGTTCAGATGAACCAGTTAAAAATTGTTAGTGGAGGAGACAATTGAGCTTGGAATGCTTGTGACAGAGCAGGAAACGGAGGTATAAGAGGGGAAGACGAAAGGGGTATTGTTTAGATTAGAGTTACATTTGAGACAAGGACATTCTGAACATAAGCATTGGAAAAGCTGGAAAAGTGCACAACTTCTGCACAAAGAAAACTTAGTACAAAGCAATTTATGTATATTATCTTAGTGTGTTATCAAAGTAACCATACCTGGTATGTACAATGCCACACAAGGGATTTTAGGCTTAACTAAACATTGAATCCCACTAATGTACTTATAGAGTTCTAGGGTGGAGACTACAGCTTGCTTCTCTCAACAGAAGGACCTGCAGCAGTTCCCACAGCCCTTCTTACGGCTTCTTGGAGCTAGCTTCTCCATAGGCGACAGTGTGCTGCAAGATGTGATCCACATCAGGCGAGTGTAGAAAAAGTTCTGGATTAAAAGCCTTATCCTCACAGGATGTGACAGCTCCTATAACAATTCCATAGGCCTAGTTCCCAGGAATCCAGCAGAACATGCAAAATTACAAAAGTCTTTGCACTTACCGTAGCCCCAAACATGGCTTCCTGTTAAATATTTATATGCAGTTTATCAGACACAGGTCATTTTTGCCATAAACGACGTTGCCTGGAAACATAGTTAACATTTTTACTCTTATCAGGTTGCCAAGAAAGCAGTTAGATAGTTGACTGAAGGTCAAAGTTTTTAAGCAGAAGGGGAAAGGATATTTAGGAGAATAGGAACTCACACTTAGGTATATATGAGACTAAAATGTCTGATTTTCTACTGCACTACAATAAAAAAGAGAGTTCTGGGGTTGGCTCTTTGTTATCTTTCCAACAGTAGGTTTTGACTATTAATGAATTCCTTCAGAGGAAATACTTATGCATTTTTTTTTTAGAAAGTACAATACTTCCTAGTATTTTTTAAATTGTCATGATATATGTAGTTGACAACACATATTCAATAAGATCCTTAAAGAAAAGTCTCAAAGTCTATATTATATTTTGACATAAGGTAACTGATAATTGATCAAAGCATGCAACTACTGTGGTGTGTGAACAGATCCGAGTAACATCAGTGCTTTCTGTGTTAGCTCAATGGACAATAACATACTTGACAAGCATAAAATCATACATTTTTTTAAAAGAGGATCTAATAGAAGCACGCGATGGTAAGTGATTTTTGAAAGAGAATAAATATGCAGAGGACATCAGATACGTAACAAAAATAAAAAATATTTTGTTGATTTTAACTAGAACTTTAAAAAAATTTATCGAAACAAATTGATTATACATATTTATGGGGTACAGAGTTATGTCTCATACATGTACACAATGTGTGATGATCCATTCAGGACAATCAGCATATTCATCATTGCAAAACCCAATTATTTCTTTATGATGTGCACATTTGATCTCTCTACTTGTCACTTGGTAACATGCAGTAAATCATTGTTAATTATAGATTCCTGGGTCGACTGTATACCAGTAGGACTTGTTTTTCCTAACTGTAATTTTGTGTCCATTACCAGCCTCTCACCATCCCATTTTAGAAAACATATATTGTTTTTGTTTTATTTTGTATCTTTTATTTTTTTCAAGCTGGCTGATGTTTGAATTTCTGGCACCATAAGCATAAATCAACCATCTTCTTGCCTATCATTGTCCATTTCCTTCATTTTTTAGTATAAAGAGCTTGATTCCATGTATTGAAAGCGCAGCTACAAAGGCCTCAATCTTGAAATTTCCTTCACATCTAATACCCTTGCTCTTTTTAATTTCCTCCTTGCTGTCTATTAGGCATCCTCCACCACAAGCCTATGCTCCCTGGACCGCATTGTTGTGAGAAAAGATGGAATGGTTGGGGAATTTTTCATATAATATGGTTCTAGGCATTGCTCATGAAACTGAACAGAATTATATATTATTAGTATGTATAAAGCATATTGAGTTAAACTGTGTATTTGTAAAGTCTAAAAAGGTGATTTCAAATGTATATAGAAGTCCAAAGAGAGGATATATAATGACTGGTTAACTTGACACAATTATTGGAATTATGAAGAAAATAAAATATACATATATCATTTAAAAATATATGATCATCATTCCCCTATTTTTATTTGATATTGATCATTTCTTAAGATTCTTAAAAATGAAGATGAAAATATGGTGAGACTATCAAGTAAGACAGATCATTTGTTGCTACAGTAATTACTCTTTCACATTGAATGTCTCATGGTCACCGATACAATGGTTTGCTTAGTATTTTGAAATGGAAACATCTCTAGCAGTTTTGTTCATTTGGGTCACAGCTGTGACATCTATTTGCATACTTACCAAATGGTTACTAAATAACGCATGCTGAAGAATAACCTTTTACCAAAGTTTGTTAATATTTACAGCCTTCATCTGAACTCAGAGCTCACAAATGGGCTTTTTGCAGGGGAGCCTGAATGCCTGGCAACACATGATAAATGTTGACCAATTTCTTTAATCACCTGCAAATACAGGTGCATTAGACAATGGTGACTCCATAGCAGTCAAAGTTGTATAATAATTAATTCAGAGACACCTGTGCACAGCTCCTTTTACAAGCATATCACAAGTGTATTACACTAAAAAAAAGATAGAATTTTTTTAAAAAGCAGATTTACTCCGATGTGTTAGTAAAGGTAAAGTTGAAATAGGCTGCACTAATTATTTGGTTATCTTTTACAGAGACTAACCTTGAGACATGTTAACAGTAACCAATGTCTCGATGAACCTTCTGAAGAAGACAAAATGGTGCCTACCATGCAGGACTGTAGTGGAAGCAGATCTCAACAATGGCTGCTAAGGAACATGACCTTAGGGGCATGAAGACCGTTTCCCCTAAGCCATGAATGTGTCTACACTTTTGTTTTTCCATTATTTCGATTAGGAGAAAATATTAACTTTGCTGAATTGAAAGTTTTAAAAACTCCTTTTAGTATTCTAAAACACAGTTGTTTATAATTCATTTTTAAGAACGTTTGCTTATTTCCCTACTAAAATTTATATCTGATTGAAGAAGCACACACAAAGTATAAAAATAGCAAACTGTTATTAAACAGCATAACAACTTTAAAACAAATTGTGTTTGCTTTAAAAAATCTTCATTGCCCTCATATCACACAGGTAGTTGGGGAGTTATTTTATCTGTTGTTGTCATAGTGATTGAAAGAGATAATGTAAATGCCTTATAAAATATCTTCATTATAAAATATTATCAATTGCTTTTTACTCACTCATTCTACTGGACCGTCATGGGAACACGTTGAATTTCTATGTCAACAGCAGGGTCACATGTTAAATTATTTCTGAGTAGTGAATTCATCATAGAAAATATTAGTTCCAAGTTTTGTACCAGGAAACAAGTTAAATTGGGTAATGAATTTGTAGTGGATTTACAGAAGCACCATATTTAAACAAATGTGAATACAAAAGAGAAGGAGATTTTGAAAATTCATGAAATAAAAAGAAATTACCAAGACATGGAGTGAAACAAGATGAAGCTAAACTTCAGCAATTAAATTGTGAGAGATACTCTGTCTGGGTTGCAATCGCTCCTGACAACAGGCTGAAGGTGAACAATCTTGTCCCAGAGTTGCTGTTGGAAACTCAGACCTTAACCCACTGTCTTTGTCTTTGCCACTTATGCTGTACAGAGTTGTAGCTGAAGGGTAGAGTTTTAGACCTAATTTTTAACTTCTTTGAATTTAAAAATTTTAGTTAGGTCACTATGGTCATGTTAATTTCATATTTTAAAAAATGAATACATTGCTATCAGAATTTCACTGCTGTGCTATAGTATCTAAAGTTTTCATCGCCAGGGGTATGAACTCAATACACATTCATTAAATTTTTATTTTAATTAAACTTCTAGATACCATTTGCCATAAATTATGGCCAAAGGAACACAGTCATAATTAGGCTAGCTTCACATGTTCTTTAAAACACTTCATGTTCAAAATACACGAGCAAAAGACATGGAAAGGAAGAAAAATCTATCAATGAGATTTTTGCTAATAAGTGTTTGTGTTTGACAGCATTTAAAATGCCCATAAAGTTGCTCTATATGTGTATTTTATTCATTATAAATGCACTCAGCAGCTAAGAGAAATATGGGGAAGAAATGGAAAAAGTGTCATCTGGAGCAGAAGATTTCACTTCTTTGGCCCTCTACTTAAAAAGCTCTTTTAGAAAGTATTAGTTTGGCTACACACAAACTCTCTCTCTCTCTGTCTGTCTGTCTCTGTCTCTCTGTCTCTGTCTCTCTCTCTCTCTCTCTGTCTCTCTCTTTCACACACACACACACACGCGCGGCTACACACAAACTCTCTCTCTCTCTGTCTGTCTGTCTCTGTCTCTCTGTCTCTGTCTCTGTCTCTCTCTCTCTCTCTCTCTCTCTCTCTTTCACACACACACACACACGCGCGCACACACACACACACACACACAACTTTATAATGGAAAGAAGGACACTTTCTGAAGGCCAGTAAAATCCTGAATGATTCTTCCAGCAGGCATTCCTTCCTCTTTTGACTTGGTACAACTCTAGAGAAAAATTCTACAACATAGAGTGTTTCATGTTTGCTCCTTGAAGTGTACACACCCCTTACCCTGAGATCTCTGGGAATCCCTGAATCTCCTAAAACTGCAAGTGAAAGTTGAATTGTAAGCAAAAGTTTGAATTGCAAGAAGTACACTTTTCAGAGGAGAGAGTCTATAGCTTATAAGGAAACCTAGAAAAGAAGCTGTGACTTCCAAGAGGTAGTGAACTACTACATTAAATTGACAGCTGCCTCTCAAGTCAACTGAAGCCTGACATAACAATCCCATTTTTCATTTTCACTCTTTTTTTCTCCCCTCTTTTCCTCTTGTCCTGACTAAAATAAGGTAAAATGTCTCTGCACAGCATTCTTCCTTAAACTTAAAAAGCCTAAACTCTCAAGGAATTTTTATGCAATCTGTTCCACTTATTGTTGATTTGTCAGTCAAAATGCATATGCTATCTATGCAATGGTCAATGACAAATATTTTAAAAATACAACTACTCCATTGAAGCTGAACTTGAAGTATCTCAGCAGCATTTTAAATATTTGAAAGTTCATTATGGTTATGGTAAAAATACAAGAAAAAGTAAAACTGCATGAGTTTTGTTCTAGAGAACAATTTTCAATGCATCTTCAGATTGTTTGAACTCATGCATTATAGTGTCTAACATATAAAAAAGGACATACAATATTATAAAACACCCAAAACCAGAAAACAATAACTGACATTCAATTTTTTAAAAAAAATATTGTCATCAGTACAAAAAATTAAAACCATAATTGGATTCTCAGTGCGTTGGTCTTACATATCCCTTATCTTTGGAGCTGGACTAATAGTTATTTCAAATTATTTCAACCCACCCCCTTTTGTGGTCTTCCCCATATCAGTTAATGCAATTGCAACCTTCCAGATGCTCAGGTCAAAAATCTAAAATCAGTTTTGACTCCTCTCTTTCTCTTTCAACTTTCATCTAATCCATCAGCAAATTCCCTTGATGCTACCTTTGAAATATAATCAGAAAAGAACAACTTGCCACCACATCCATTGGGTATTACTACCTCTAACCTTTTCAGTTGCAATATGCTTATAATTTGGTTTCTTGATTTCCCAATCTTTGTCCCAAACAGTCTTTTCTCAATACAACAGCTATTATGATTCTGTTATTGATTATGTTATTTCCCTGCTCACAAACTTCCAGAAACTTTTCAATCTCCTTGTAGTGGCCTTCAAGGTTTTTCACAAATGACACCCCTCTCTACACCCACCTATGCACACACACACTTTCTCTCTCTCACACACACACGCTTGCGTTAGTTTCTGACTACATCTCTCATCTCTTACCATCCTGCCTCCTACTTACCCCACTCTGACTTCCGAGCAAGTTCCTGCCTTAGTATTGTATTCCCTCTGCCCGACAGAGCTCTCAAACACACTTTCTTTAGGTCTCTGTTCAAAAAATATCTCATCAGTAAGGCAAACCTTTCTTCCACCTGTCCTCCCTATTCCCTATACCTCTGACAAACTACAAGTTTGCTTCTTTATTTCTGTCTACCCTTCCACCTGCCCGGCCCCCAACACCCCCATCACACACCGGAAAATGTATGACCCATAAAGGCAGAGGCTTTGTCAGTTTTGTTCACTGTGATATCCTCAGCATCTAGTAAAATTCTTGACACATACTAAGTGTTCTTTAAATATTTCTTGAAATAATGAACCGAAAAATATGTGTTAAAAAGTTGCTAAGTGCTACTGTATCATACCTTTTTTTGTATTTTAAATTTTAAAATAAAGTTGAGTAATATATTTAGACAGGATTTGCATAACTTTGTCTCTAAATGATAATTTTCTTCCTAACGTTCTTCATATTAAAATATGGGTTATATGTTGTCCTCTGTTATAAAAGATTCTGCCTTATGGAAATGAAACATGACATTTTATAAAAATGTTCTTATATTATATGAAGCTAAAAATAATTCAAATTTTTATTTTTTACTTGTGTTCAATGGCCACCTGAAGGTGTAAGATTTTGACTTTTAGAAGGGAGATGTATCATTCCCTTAAAAATTATGTGTATTTTCATGGTTTCATAACAGCTATTACTAAATTTATTTTCTAAGTGCACGTCTGTAAACAAAACACAATTAGAGAAAATTTAAAGGACCTTACAGATGATCTATTGTTAGCTTCTCTGTTTGTAGATAATAAGACTGAGATCCAGATATGTAATATAATTTGCCCAGGAATCCTATAGCTACAGGCAGTATTGCCAGGACTCATCATCGTTAATATAAACTAATACTATTACTCAAAAATATTATAGAAAGAGCACAATGATGAGAAAAAATATCTTCATTAAACATATTGTGATTAGTTCACTGATTCCTTAGAAACATTTAAATTCTTATTACCTTTTATACTTAAATAAATTTAGTTTTATAAAATGATATCACAGGCAATAAATAAGGCCTGAAGCAAAAATCATAAAATACCAGGAAGCAGCATGATTACAGAACATTCTAGCATTATTGGGTAAACTGGGCTTCAGGGAAGCAAGCCTCTTCAGTAGTAACTAATGGAGCATACTCTCTACCCACTTCCATTTTCCTTATAATTATCTTCAAGTTAAAAATAAGGCTGGCCTACAGCTTGCACAGAGAATTAGACAATCTATTACTGTGAACATTGGGTGAGTTCTATGCTGCTTCAAAGACTGCAGGGTAATCAACAGAGATTTCTAGACTTCCCCGTGGAGCTCTGTAGACTCTAATAAATACAACCCATAAATTTGATTTTTGCCATGGTGCTTAGAAACAGCCTAATAAATAAAAAGGAAAAAAAAAGAAAATAAAAGAAAAAGAAGAGAATGGAAAAAATAACCAGAACAATGAAACAACAGGACCGTTTTTACTTTTTTCTCCCCTGTGTGAGATTAGAACGTAGCACAAATTGGTTCAGTAAGCCTCAAAATATTGGCTCCTGCTACATAGTTTTCACCAGTTGAGAAATGTTCATAGTCTGATCACAACCATTTTACTTGCATCTCATTTATAGATGCTAAATCTAGTTTCAGAGGAGGTAAAACCTGTATTTCTTCTTAAGGTATAATGTACACTGATTACACAAATATGAAGAATTTAAGAAATTCAAGATCTTAATGGATGTGTCACCATCCACAGCTGTCATTCTGCATAGCTGATATCTGCAAATCTTGAATAAATTTCCAATTTAGTTGGGCAGCAGAAATTCAACTAAGTCTTAAGGCAGCTTGTGTTCAGGATTCAGCTACTGCCAATTCATCAAAATATGGAGTAGATAAAATCAGCTACACTTCTGTACAATACAAGGACACATCTGGTGTGACTATACCATGTTCAATCTGCTAGTAGATAGAAGCTATCCCATGAATTTAAGGTGTTGAATGAACACCAGCAATGTGTTTTAAATAGTTCGTGTAAATTGGTACCCAACTTTTGTTTTATATTGTTCAGTAAATCCTAAAGCCAATTTTTATTGTTTTCTTTTAAAAATTCCTCTGAAATCCTAGTGATGCAAGACGGCTCTTTTGTTTACTATCTTTTAAAATAATGACCATTTCTATTATATTTCTGTCATCAATATATGAAGTTATCATTTTGTTTTTGCTTTTAGCTAGAAAGAACAAATTACTTAATATTCTGTTTTTAATG